CTCTTTTGGATAAAAATATAATTATGTAGTCAACAATCATCCAAATCAAGAGGAAACCGAAAATCAAATTAAAAAATTTGCTTAAATTTTGAAGAATTTGTCAACGAGAAGACAAATATATATATAACTAATATTATTAGCAAAATTATAATAGTTTAGATTTAGACCATATAACTACATAAATTGAATATATGTGGACAATTTCTTATCAACTACACACAATTCACATTGTTCTGAAGTCATATATTAGTCCAATTAGCCAATCAATAAGTTCCCACATTTTCAAGTTGTTATTAATTTCTGCTTTTATGGGTAATAGAAATGGTCAATCTCACATCCAGCTTGTATTGACAAATATCGGATAATAACAAAACAGACCCATAAGTTTGTGGTAATTGGCAAAACAACCCCTCTATTATTACAAAATTAATGGAGGAGTGGAGGGAGTATAAAACTATAAATAGTTAAATACTGACAAGCAGGGCCGTCTCCAGAAATTTGGAAGCCCCAGACAATATTTAACTTTTTGAATTTCCTAATTTTAATTTGCGTAGCAGGGCTATTTGTAGATAGAATTATACAAGAAAAGAATTTAATTAAACAAAACGATTAAACAAATAAATATTTGAAAAAAAATAATTTTTCTTATTTTTCTAGACATTGAAAAAATAACCTTTAGTAAATTGTAAATTGTATTCAATCAGTCACGAATACCACAAGAAGGAGAAAATAAAAATCATATTAGCAAAGAATATTTATTCTCACACAACTTGTTATCCCCGAACATCATAAGAAAAAAATAATAAAATATTTAGGGCCTCAAATTCCTACACAAAGTACATATTTGCTATTATCCTCTTCATTAATTAGTCACTTCATTTATGTAATGGACCAAGTTTATATTTACCTATTAGCCTCTTTATTTGTGTAAATAAACAAAACCAAACACAAATACTTAACATTAAAAAAAAAATAAAAAAAAATTGAGGCTCCTATTAATTGGAGGCCCTAGGCATGAGCCTATGGTGTCTCCCCTCTGGAGCCGGCACTGCTGACAAATTAATTAAAATATAAAGAGCTTGAACCATTGTATTGAACTATTAATACGATTATGTCTCGCGAGTCGCGACGGCGTAATTTTCGTTTTTCTCACAAAACTCCCGAGTCTTTCTTGTAATTAACTAAAAATATGGACCCCTACCCTAAATTATAGTATACCCAAAATAAAATAAAATAAATAGTAGACTACTTACTAATTACTACCTAATATACTTGGAAACCACATTGGCCTCCATAAATAAATGCATGACGCTCAGTCGCTCATATATCCACACCAAACTCAACTATTCACACTAAAGTATCCACAAAAAAAATTAAAAAAATTTAGAAAAAAAAAAGATTGTAATATTGTTAAGAATATCTATCTATTATGTCTTCGAGGGAAGTTTCGGGCTCTCGGGTGACGGAGAAGGCGGCGGCTCCGCTGCTTCCGCCGCCACGTAATGGCGGGTCGGCCGTGGGAGATTTGTTATTGAGGTTTTTGTTGTTTGCGTCGTGCGTTGTGGCTGTTCTGGTTATGGTCACCGGCAATCAGTCGCAACTTATTCCGATCGCTTTTCCTCCTTTCTTGGTGTCGCGAGATGCCAAATTCAATCACTCATCGGCTTTTATGTGAGTGCTGTTAAAGTAATGTTTTATAAGTTATATGCTCTTTTTTTTTTTAATCTCAAATAAAAAATAA